AAGGACACAGAGCTCTATATCTGACTCTTTTGGGGCCCGTTGGTATATCTCATAGTGACATAGTTTATGTTGTTAACAATGCTTGTGCAATGATCACAAAGTCAAATTCAGACAGCGTATTATTCTGAAAGCCTATTCTTTTCTTGAAGTACAACGTCTTATATGTCACTATAAGATACCTCCTTAATAGCTTGGTTTAAAAATACCATTAAAAACATATAATCTTGAGTCCTTCCTTTGATATATACTGGTTGTATGATTCTGAGCAAGTACCTTAACTTCTCAGCTTCTGATCTGCATTATTAGAGGGACTTTTTTCCACTGGAAATCCCCTGTACCAATAAAATCATAGGTCTGTTTCCTTCCACCACTCACAAAATAATAATCTGAATGAAAAAATTTTGTATGGTGAAAAGTTACATAAATCTTTGGCTGACAACTGTATTTAAAATGTCTGGAATACAGCCATGTTAGCCAGTCCCATCATCAGCGCAACTCTCTCCAAAGCACAAGGAGTGCCCCTTCAAGCCAAAGGGAAATCTTGTTTCTTTTCCGTGTGAACATTATAACTGTAAATAAAGTTCTATCCCTTCTAAATATGGAAACAAATTAGCAAGCAAGGAAGACAGAAATAATTTATACATAAGGCTTAGCAATGGTAGCTTTATAAGGTTAGTGATAGAGTCCTGAACAGATGACCATTAGCTCATCTCATTGGAGTAATGATCCTTGAAGAGACCAGAAATAAGGAGATTTAGTTTAGCTACAAACCTGAAGTTTTTCTTACTCATCATTTAAGTGCTCTCAGGCAGCCGTACACAGCCTAGTGAAGAACCTGCCAGTTGTTTTACGTCAGCTGCCAGCTGCTGAGATATGGTCCTTTAGAGTCAACTTTTATAGGTAGTCCTCACTTTAGATACAATATGTTTACCCGAATGGGTTAGCAAAAGGATGTTTGTGAGCTCTTAGAATGGGGGTCAGTGAGCAAGAACCAGATGGTTCATTGAAGAAAAGGTGCCTAACTTCATCTCAGGGTTCCCCCGCCGTAGAGCTGGAGAAGGCAATAATAGTCACAGTGCACCCAGATTTCAGTGAAGTGTTTGATATTCTTTAAAAACAACAACTAGCATGTATATAGCACTTAAAGGTTTACAAAGCACTTTACAGATATAATTTCATTTGATACTTAACACTGAGGTAGGTGTGCAACCCAAGGCTGAGAGAGGTTGTAAGCAACTTGCCCTGGGTCACACAGTGAGGAAGGTTGGCAGGATTTGAATTCAGGTATTTTTGAGTCCAAGTTCAGTGCTTTTACACACTGTCACCTAGATGCCTCCTGTAGACAAGTTGGAGAGTTGTGAATTGGTTGATGGTATATTTAGGTGAGTTCAGAATCAGTTGACCAATTGACCGCAAAAAGTGAGGAATTTCTCTCATGGAGTCATATAGGGTTCTATCCTTAACTATTTGCTATTCAACATATTTTTGTTAAATGAAGGCAAAGATGGTAGGGTTATCAAATTTGAAGATGACACAGATTTGGCAGGGGGGAAATGACAGAACTGGGTGCCAAAAAGATCTTAATAATTTGGAAAACAGGCTAGATATAATATATGTAGCATAATTGGGTAAAAATATTAAATCCTTCGAGTCCAAAAAAATCACTGTTACAGGTACAGGAGGAAGGAGAGGAAGGAGCCATAGCTAGACATTTCAGGCATTGTAAGGTTCAATCTAAAGCTAATAGTGTGGTATGTTAGACAGAAAGCTTACTCAGTATCCAGAAAGAATTAGTGATAGTCATTCTTTATTCTGTCTATGTCAGGCCACATATGATTAAACATAGTGTGATCTGATTCTGGGCATCACGTTTCAGGAAACATATTGACAAACTGGAGCCAAAACAGACAAAGTGGCATTAGCACTCTCACTCTTTCAGTAGTGAACAAACAAAAGCTCTCAGCATTTAGTTAGTAAGATTAGCCAAATACTGGGCCACTACCATGGGTGGTCTGTTTCCTCCTACCATTGGCCATAACCCTAAGTGAGTTACTTCCTGCCTCCCCCTCACCCCCTGGCCAGGAACACACACTCCTGAAATGACCTGCCACACCACTACCCCATCAGAACAGAGGGCACGTTTCATGGTGCTAACTTCAGCAAAATTGAGTTATGCCTGCCCAGGGAAGAATGACTAGGGTAATGAGAGGGCTTAAAACTATATTATGAGAATGGGTTGAAAGAACTAGGGATGCTGACATAGAGAAGCATAATAGCTCTCTTTAAATATTTGAAGGATTGCCATGTGGAAGAGAGATCAGACTTGTTCTCCTAGGCCCTAGAGCACATGCTAGCAATGAAAGGAGGAAGGTAAATCTCAAACTTCATATAAGGTGGAAAAATTCTTCCCAGTTACAGCTGAACAAAAATAGAATGTGTTAATTCATTGGGTAGTGAGTCCCCATCACTGGAGGTCTTAAATCAGAGGCTGGGTAATCATGTGGTAGGAATGCTATAAAGGCAAATTGTGCTTCAAGTATTGGTTTAGATTAGATAGTTGAGGTCTGTTCAAACTCTTAAGGTTCTTTCCTCTCATATCCTGTCTCTCATCTGTTTATTTCCCACCCCAGCATCAGCTTCTCCCAGGATGTATAGGTAGGCACAAGGCTTTTCATACAGTTCTCCACAAATATTGCTGAATGAAAGAAAGCCAGAAACTATTAATGCTGTAAAGCAAGATCCTGACTGTTCAGGCAGTCCCTTGTACTCATCCTATACATGAAGTTGCCCTCACCTATTTGAATTTCATCAAGAATTGTTGAATGCCGTGTGACTCTGGGCAAGTTACTTAACCCCAATTGCCTAAAAACGAACAAACAAACAAACAAAAAAACAGAATTGTTGAATGAAGGGGCAAAGGTAGTGAGAAGGAAAGAAAGTATAGGTCTTGGTCAGCATCAAATTAAGTGGAGCTACAAAATTCATGTTACTAGAAAATGAACATGATCTATATTTTCAGTTCTCCTTTTGCTTTAAGAACTTCTTCATGTAGGAGATTTGGTTCCATTATATAACAAACAGCCTGTGATATGAAATAGAAATGACGAGCAGCAATTCACTCCAGAGTTACTTTTAGGGAGACATAAAAAACCATTATTACTATCAGCGGTAAGAAAGGAATCCCATGCAGAACTGTGGGTTAAATTTGTTTCTATAACAGTATTGCTGTACTTAGAATTTAATTGTTGTCTGTAAGAAGGAAAAGTTTCTCAGCTTTGGAAAAAAAAAATTTAATTACTTTCTCCAGGACACATAGCCCTGAAATTAAAAAACCCAGCACAGAACCCACAGAAACAATGGTATCAGGATGGTTAGGTTTCTAGGCCAGTCCACACAAATAATCTTAAACGCATATGCACATAACATATCAGCACTGTATGTGACCTACCCTTTATACCACTGTTTCTCTGGGAAAGTGCATTCTGATTTCTAACTGGATACAGGAATATATTTATCCCAGTTTTAGGCTTGTGAGAAGTCCAACCACCACCACCAAGCCATACGTACCCCTTTAGTTCAGGAGACTGCTCTGAATGTCAGCCACCACCACTGAGTCCTTTGCCATGTAGAGAGGGGGCCAGTAGTTCCTGAAGAAGGAGCTGTGGCTATGGTTGCTTCCAAAAGGGTAGGGCTACCTAGGCTGGAGGGGGACAGGTCCTGTTACTATATGCAGTGTGTTGGCATACTGCAAGACACTCATCATCTTGTATTTTTAAGTAAAGAACTACACATGGTAGCTTAAACACTGTAAAACAAGTATTGATCACAACATGCTTATCAAGAAATAGCCCCATGATGGAGAAGGTGGTGTATATTACATTTGATCAAGCTTCGGAAAGTTCACATTTATGCAGAGCTTTCAAAGTGCCCCCTGACAACTGCATTTCAAATAGCAGTAATGATTTTGTGAAACAACTGAAATGAAAAGAGAGGGGACTGGTGCTAGGGCTCAGGGTAATGTTTGGACAAACCAGAAACCAGACAGCACTCTGCGGCTTCCTAGCAGGAAAGACCAAGAGGGAAAAATACTCATTTAGTTGAAGAAAATACAAATGAAGCTGTTCCTTATAAGAGACATTCCATCTCCAGCCTCCATGCCTTTACACAGTTCCTTCTCTTAACCTCCTAACATCTTGGAGTTTACTTTTTTCAAAGCAAAGCTCAGGTGCCACTCCCAAAATTGCTTTGTAAATACTTCATACATGTTGTCTCACTCCAGTCCAATACAAACTTCTTGAGAAGGGACTTTAATTTTTGTCTTTGAATTCCCCATCAGATAGTCTCTTGTACACAGAACATATTTAATGTCTATTGAATTGAATTCTTTAAAAAAAAATGGACAAAAATCAAGACCTGAGGATCATTGGAAATAGAAGGAATTAATTGCTGTAGTATTTATAGAAGCAGCTGTTAGGCCAGTTCTTTTTCCCAGTTAGCTATAGAAACAACTATCAAGAGATACTGATGAAATGATTGAAAATACACAAGATCTTGGTCTAGACTCTGATTCCTAATACTTTTTTGTCTAGAAGGACCTGTTTTGGCTTGAAATCTGTTGATGAAATACATAAATGCTGGGTTAGGTCTCTGCCTACATGGAATATTTCTGTAGGAAATTTAGCCCACCAAAATAAAAAAATCAGAGCTAGAACAAGGTTCAAGAGTGGATCTCTCCTTACTACTAATATTCAAATAGGTAATACAACCAGAGGATAATCTATTCTCTTGATGAGCCCTAGGACTATAGACTGTACTACCTTATTCTACAGCCTGTTCCTTGCTTTATCACTGACATGGTTATGAAGCTCATCCTTTTATCCAAGCAAAATATTTTCTCCCCTTTGCTATTTTTTGGTACCTTTTAGACAATAGAAAGATGATTAATTGCCCTGCCCCTTAGCACTCATGTAGTACTGATATACTTGGTTTCTGATTTTCAGCCTCTTTAACCAGAATGGCACGTGTGTTTGTATATGGGACTCTTAAAAAAGGCCAACCCAACCACAGCTTCATGACCAGTTGTACCAATGGGATTGCAGAATTCCAAGGTCGGGGTCGCACAGCAGATCTATATCCTTTGGTGATTGGAAGCAAACATAACATTCCCTATTTGCTGAATGTCCCAGGAAAAGGACACCACGTTACTGGAGAGATCTATTCTGTTGATGACCAGATGCTGCAATTCCTTGATGAATTTGAAGGCTGCCCAGACATGTATCAACGCACTCCAGTGAGAATTGAAATATTAGAGTGGGAAGGTAAAAGCAGTGCACCTGAGGAGAGGCCAGCTGTTAACGGCATTATGGAATGCTTTGTGTACAGCACAACTACCTATCCGCCAGAGTGGATAAATCTCCCTTACCATGACAATTATGATTCCTTTGGGAAACACGGCCTTTGTTATAATCCACGGGAAAATAGATGAAAAATGGTAAAGAACACTCATGAGTAAGAAGATGAATAAAACACATGTTGATTATAAGATGACCTCATCTTAATTTGCCATTATTATCAGGTTTTTTTGAAAAGCCATAGCAGTACATTTAAAGATGATCAAAACTGACTTCTAAAGTTAACTATGGAAATCTACACTGGGCATAAGGCTTTATTGCAGCTTGTCTTAGAGATGATTTTTAACACATTGACAACATTGTACTGATCATTCAGGGTTTGTTTTATTTGTACTCTTGCTGTCTGCTCCAGTGGTATTACCCTTAAGGTGTTCAAAGAGAAAGATTTAAGTTACAAAATTTAGATTCACCCAATGGCATAGATACTGACATTTTATATGCTCAGTTCATTCTGTGCTATAATTTTGTTGCCTTGTTTTTAAATATTAAGATAAGTTTGGGAATGAATCTTTTAAATCTGTTATTTTGACCCACTAGACCATATCAATACTGCTGAATTGATTCTGGCCTGTTGTACCTAGATGTTTTTATAAAAGCTGCTTTGGGGATGCCTGATCCACTATAACAAATCCTCAAGAGGAATCGGCTGTACTGTGTCAGAAAGTAATTTGGTATATTAGTGAGTTCATTCTTGATCCATTTGCAGAAGCAGCTGAAGAAAAATGCCTATAATAAAAAATGACCATTCAAAACTAAACCAGTTAGGGAGCTTTAAACATAGTATTAGTGGTGTTTATGTCCTGGATCTTTTTAAAAAGATTTATCTTGCATAGGCTTTGTTATCCCTCCTTTGTAGTTTAGGAAAATAGCAAAACACCCACCTGCTTGTGGATAAAATCAAGCATCCTGGATTTAGTATCAAACTGAGGTTTAGCCCAATGCCCAGATCTACAGAACCAAGAAAATATCACTTACTCTTAAACCCCAGTGCCTGGGGGTGGGGATATCACAAAAAAACCAAAGCATTGGCAATTTTTTCTTCAGCCCTGACAGAAAACTTAAGCTTTTAAGTACAAACAACACTTAAAATAATTTTTAGCAAGGCATGAGTACCAATTACCATCCACCTCCATTTGCTATTTCTAGTCAGTATAGATTCAAGTTAATATACACTTCTTTGCCTCTGCTTCCAAGCAAAGCCCTAGATTCGGGCTATTTAAGAACCAAGGAAGAACGCAGCTATAACTGTTGTCGGGCACCGATTCTTCTTAACCTCAGTAGTTGCAAGTTTTCCCTTCCCTTAAATTTAATGGTAGAGGGTGAATACTAGCTGCATTCCTGGAGCAATGAAATGATCTTTATTTTTAGCTTTCTTAATTGAATGTGCTTCACAAAAATACAACAGTAAACACAGCTATCAGCTGATGAGCTAGCAAGATCACAGTAAAGTACTGTGTGACAGGGCATAGTGTAAGAGCTGTTAAACAGCTACTGTCCTTTTCACTAGCCTGGGAGAAGGGGCTGTATTTGCAGACCACTCCTGAGGAGCATAACACTGCAGAGCAACATGTAAGAGGCGACGGTCTCTCTGCCGTGAAGCTCCAAAGCTTTAGGCTTAGTTCCAGTACTGTACCACTAAACACTATGACATAAAGGCAGTACTGCAAATAGGGTACAGTCTTCAGAAAGTTAAGATGGATAAATGATAAAAAAAAAAATTAGGCTGTTGGGTCCTGTAATTATGGAAAAGAGTCAAGACTTGAGTTTGGCTAATCAAGGTCTAAGATGACTAATGCTAATTTGAAATGATCTAAGACTGGCTGAAATTTGCACACATTCTTAGAAGAGATCACAGAAAAGAGTCTGGTATTTAAAGTCTACTGGCACAGACTATGATCTTGTGTACATTGTCTTCATTCAAAAAAAGGGCAAACTAATATTTAGACAAGTGTTCCATTTTATTGAGTTAATTTTGACACTAGGAAATCTCACAGCAGAAGTACAAATCATATGTACAAGTATTATATCAATACAAATTTCCATTGGTGATTTTTTGGCAGAATGTTAGTTTTGACTATATATGGAATAAATATGTCCATGTAAAATCTGCTGCACAGGAGTGTTCCTGTAAAATGCCGGAATAAATTTGGTATGAAAGAATAGTAATAAAAATAGCTAATTAAAATGGGTGATGATTAAGGACATTTTATTCCAGTTCTACAAGAAGATCTCCTTCTCCAACTGTGTCTCCAGCTTTGCAATGCACTGATTTCACCTAAAAAAAAAAGAGTAATCATTAAACAGTATTTATAAGGATAAAGGGAGAAGCAATATCCAGAACTACATTTGGAAAAGACAAGGAGGTCTCTGCAGGATCTGAGGCACAGGTACAATCTGCTTGGCTCCCTGAAGTCCTCACATATAGTGCTAAATGAGGCTGGGATTACCTTGAGTAGAGAGTGTGTGCATGATTCATTCTCTTCTCTGCCCCAAATCCCTTTAGAGTGTCCTTTTTTGTCCTTATTTGCCTCAAAAAGGCCTCTCAGTTCAAAGGGGAATCCCTTTGGGGAAATAATTTTACAGCACATAACACCTTAGCTGGAAATGTAGCCATTAAAATGTCCAGTAATCCTGTCCCCCACCGCCCACCCAAAAAAACCCAACCTATACATAAGTACCATTTTTTTACATTTAGATCCCAAATGGAAACTGTGAACTAGGTGCTTTTTGAAAACATGAATCCCCCTAAATCTTAATTTCACACACCCCAAAACCCAGAGTAAAATTTTCTGAGATGCTGAAACATTTCAGATACACACTGATTCCCAGTCTAATTCAAAATGAGAAAACAAACTAATTTTAATTAAAGGATTAATTAAAAGTAGAAAGCAAAGAACCTGTAACCCTGAGACTTAATGTTGTAATTAGGCACTTGCCTTTGAATAGAAATTAAGCAATCAGAAGTATTATATATTGTCCATTATGGGCTTCTGATGTAATGGATTCTTTTATGGACTTATTTCCCATGGTGATTGTTACTATAGTAGGGTTGATTTTTTTCTTCTCATAAAAAAAAGTTCTGCCTTCCAAAAATGCCGCATGTTTGTGGAAGTTGTGATACTTTTAGGGTAGGAGGCTCCAGGATTAATAAGCAAGGGAGAAACGGGCCATTTGGATAACTGGTAAAAATACAAAATGGTAGAAGGGCCTAGCTAGTGTCCTGTGCTCTCCTAAGTCCACTGAACTTAAATGGGAACAGACCAAGAAGAATGATTGTCCTAAATTGAGTTTATGTGATATGCCACTTGGACTGAAGAGACTTTTTTCAGGATGCTGCTGCCTCCAATGTTTATATGTGATGTCTTTTTAATGATGCTACAATTATTATGGTAGAGGAGGCACTTCTATTGTGAGCTTTTTTATGAGGATACTTGGAATTGCCTGGGGAAAAAAAATAACCTGTGATACAAGAACAGGTAATAAAAATCCAATCTAGGCAACCTTCACTTTGACTTGACCTGCCTTCTTTGTGCTCAGGTTTCTGACCATCAGATTTGTGCCTGTCATACTGTGTTTCAGGAGGCTTAGAGAAGAAGAAAGCTCATGATAGAAATCAGAGCCATTCAAAAGTGATGCAGACTCTGCTGTGCAAGAGAAGGTGAATAAATCAGTGTGAGTCCTTCAGCACCACTGGGAAAACAATGGGTGATGGGTCAGAGCATCATCTCTGGTTATGTGAGATACAACATAATTGAAATATAAAACCACAAATTTAGGCTGAACTTTAAAAAAAATCCAATCATGCTTAGTTTTAGGGCATCTGCCAACTAAAGATGGCACCACAAAACATGCATACTGACAGCACTGGCTATACATACACATCTTTCCATGGACGAGACGGTGGTTATACCATATAAATTAGCCAATATACAAATTGGTAGGATTATAAGAAATTGACAAATTTTTCCTACTCACTTTAAAAACTGAAGACTTAAAAAGAGCACACAAGTCTTTTCTATTGATTTGCTTCATATTGATTCCTACTAGGTTTAAGTGTTATCTGCCCAGGGAGTCCAATGTGGCTCCCTACCAAATCTACTGGCGCAGAAACCCCAAACAAACCTTTTCTTCTACTCTACCATAACCTGAGCATTACCAATGTTTTTAAAGTACCCCCTTGCCCAGATTTCTGGTATTCCATTTAGTTTAATTTCCAAGGGCATAGGGCATATACCTGTGTGCCCATAGATATTTGACTTTTCTACATTTTTTTCAAGGTGACTGAATTTGTCACTTTTCATGGGCTGTTTTGCCAAAGCCAATAGGGTATTGCAAGAAAGCCACAACTCTGTTAATACCAGTCTTAGGAGCCCGAAGGGCCATTAGAGGTTATCTGGTTTGAAAGTCTTATTTTGTAAATAAGACTGAATCACAAGATATTAAATCACTCAATCCAAGGTCACACATGATTGGGCCAGAATTATCATACTACTCAGAGATCTACATTTTGAATATTTCTAAACCAACATAAATGTATACTTTCAAAGTATTTGGTTACAAATTATGACACTTGAATCTTAGGAAGAATAATTTTTTGCTCAAATGTTTTCTATAGATGTGAATGAAACTTAAAATTCTGCATCTTTACTTCAAAGATCTGTAATTTTGTTAGTGTGGTCACCCCCTGCCTGGCAGACTCTGGCCCTCTACAATTTAGTACATGGTCTTTGAGAATCACTACGGCCAACAGTTTCACCTTCTTGTGGCCAAAATATAGTTATCCTCTCCTAAACTTGGTGAGGCTGGTTTCAGACAGACAACAGGTATGTACAATCTATCACCAGGACATGCTCAAATGCTTTACATCTTGGTAGGACCTGTTAGGGTTTGTGACCCACAAGCAGAGACTTCAGGAACACATGGTTTCCCTGACACAGAAATGCTAAGTGCCTTTGCCAAACTGCTAAGTAGTAATGTATACCCAGGGACTTTAGCACTTTTCACTACTTGATCTAAAATTGAATTGTTCTCTTTATGAAGAAATTATTGTGAGAAACCAATTTACATTAATTTCTGCAATCTGTAAAGCCATTCCCTGCTGTGTCACCTAAGTCTCAGATAACTAACTGCCTCCAA